AAAATGTCTTGAAGTTATTTACACCCCCTCCAATCCATAGAACTCTATTCAAGAACACCAGTCGCATAGTTGCTATCTCTAGTCTTCCACATCTATCCATCAAGCTTTGACACCGTCACTGGTGGCATTTGCAGATAAAATCCAATTGACTTGTGAATATATCAGTGCAGTCTTCGCATGAGACTATCATTAAATCTAAATAGTAATTCGCATACGATGAGAATAATTGCACGAGCACTTAATGAGTAAACGTAATTAAAGTCATATCCTTGAGTTTTTCTCGAGCGTGCAGCAGAAGCAGAGGAAAAAGGATGCACCATTTAATTTTAATTTGAACAGTTAGGAAAATAGAACGTAGATAAATTAAATGCAAACTTTATTTATGTTGTTGGAAAACAGCTATAGAATGTAATGAAAGAAATTGCATAGCCGTGGAAGATATCGTTACATTGCCGGTGCACAAATTATTACTATGCCAACATTACGAAATCCATATCAGTGTCTATCTTCCTGATGATATTTTTCATCGGTAACTGTTAACTTAGTAACTTTGAAATTACATCATATATTTAAATGCTGCTTCCAATACGATAGCTACCATTCAAGGTCAATCGAAATATATAGGTATCCATTATTCACAGACTTTCACTTACACATGACTCTAGACACCTATGGTCCACTGTCAATGATATATTCAATAAGTCATCCTATTCAAAAAACAATATTAATGAAATAAAAACAAAAACAGGACAGAAAACAGACAATATTCAGCAAATATGTGATGAGTTCATAGAATTTTTCACGAATATAGGAGGAAACTTAGCAAATAATATCAAACAAAATGCTGATATTCATCTGCATGAAACAAGACTGAATAATTCATTTGTATTAACTGAAGTAGACTATCAGGATGTTTTCAATGCCATTATGACTCTAAAAAATAAAAAAAGCCCTGGAGTTGACGAAATTAGAGCTGAACATCTAAAGATACTGGCCAAACAAATAACAGAACCACTTGCTTATATCATTAACAAATCCTTCCAATCTGGAGTATTTCCATCAGCTTTCAAGACAGCAATCATCATACCTATCTATAAATCTAATGATAATACGGACGTCACTAACTATCGACCTATTTCACTTATATCAAGTTTAGCTAAAGTTTTTGAGAAATTACTCCTTAATAAAATGATTAATTTTCTTAATAAATTCAAAATTCTAAATTCAAATCAATATGGTTTTATAGCGGGCAAATCTACAACAGATGGGGTATTAAGTATAGTAGATGAAATAACCCAAAATATAGATGGAAAAGTACCATCGATATGCGTATTTGTGGACTTACAAAAAGCGTTTGACACAGTTAACCACAATATACTTTTGGAAATCTTAGAAAGAATAGGTTTTCGTGGAAAGATGTATACTTTAATGGAAAATTATTTATCAAATAGACCGCAATCAGTAAAATTATTAAGCTCGTATAGTAAAGAAATGTTTGTTAAATGTGGTGTTCCACAAGGTACAATTTTGGGTCCTCTGTTATTCAATATTTATTTAAACGATATATTCAAAATTAACAGTACTGGTAAAATAGTCAGTTTTGCAGACGATACTGCTATACTCTATAAAGGTAAGGATTGGAACGACTTAAAAGATATTATCCAAAATGACTTTTGCAAAATTATTCAGTGGTTTAATAACCGAAAGTTAATGATACAAAATATTTGGGAATTTATCTAGATCCCCACTTGAGATGGGATGTACATATTTCTCACATACTAAAGAAAATTAGATTCATAGCATATAAAATAAAATTTCTAACCGGTATATTAACTGAATATTATCTACGAATAATATATCAAGCTTTAGTCGAGCCACACATAAAATATGGTATAGTAGTGTGGGGTGCTGCATGCACGACATACTTTAACGATTTAGATGTACTTCAAAGAAGAATTTTAAAATCAATGTTAGACAAATCAAAATTATACCCAACTAATGACTTATATAATGATGCACAAGTATATGATACTAAACAACTTTACTTCTTACATACCATCACTCATTATCACAAAACTATTAGTGAACACGACATAATTAAACATAATCATAAAACCAGATATAAATTACGCGCAAAAAATGTTCCTAAACCAAACAAATCCCTAATGAAACGATGTCACCTGTATATAGCTCCAAAATTGTACGAACATTTACCAAATAATTTAAAACAATTACGCAATACATTAGGCTTCAAAAAAAAATTAAAAAAATTTATTAACACGATTGGGAGAAATCAAATTAATGAAATAATCTCAAATATTACACAATAAATGCTCTACCATTCTTACGAATAATTTCTTTTCTATCTATTTTATTATATTTTGCAATTCAACATACATATGATCCATGCAAAGGCGTTGTCCTCCTATGGATATATTATATTTATTTACTCGTTTCATGTTCCCTGTATTTTAGAGTAAATAAATATTATTATTATTATTATTATTATTATTATTATTATATTATACATACTATCATCTCAATTAAACATTAAACATTTATTTATCTTACATAGATTTACAAAGTTTTTTTATTTTTCAAAAAGATACATAGCGGCTCAAGGCCGTCCGCTGGGTCTGCTTCTTCGTCTAGGTCAGTTGTCATTAGGCTCTCCGAAGAGAGTAAGATTAATTTATTTGTGCCAGATCTCTGAACCATGAGATCTGCCCGCGTGTAAATACAGCCTTCTTTATGGGTGGAGGGGTTACTAAGGCAAGAGAACGTCCACCTTCAGTTCTTGTGGAGGGTTGTGAGACATTGATAACCCTGGATGCTGAAGGGCTAAGTGGATAGGTAGGTCTGCGATTGATTGTTTCTGTATCTTCCCTAGCATTTTCTGTTGCAAATTTTGTATCCTGATATGGTAGGGATCTTTGTCGAGCATTTTCTATCGTTGTTCCGATGGAAGACAATGCAGAAACATCCCTGCAACCCGATAGGGTTTGTTTAAGCGGACCTGAATGGTTATAACCACCATCAGCATATTTCTCTATTTTTTATAGTGTATTTGGTAACATCTGAACATTGCTACAACTATGACATGTGACAGCATAAGCAAGTATAAGTAGCTACCTTACCTATCCAAATTTAATAAACGGGTCGCACTGCCGTGAGGATGCAGTGATTGGGATGATGGCATCGTTACCACAGTTAACCGCTTAAGCGCGACGGAATATTTGAAAAGCGAAGATACGGCAAAGATCCATAAAGGATTCGTGTCTGATTTAGTAATATTTTCAACAACTAGAAGCTTCCTAATTGTATTGTATGCTGGCTCGGGAGCATAATCACTAGTTGCACACGGCACATGGAAACACTTGAACTGTAAAAGAGGTGGACCTTCATGGAGTCGTCATGTACTCAGAAATATCCTGGGAACGGCCCAAAATAACCGTCGCCAAATCGTATCAAAAACCGTCAGATCTTGCAACCCTGGAGACAAGTCTTAGCCTGTGTAGCTCGACATTGTTGGGCTAGTTCGTGAACAAAACGGACAAAATGGACGAATGTTCCATGTATATCCGCAATTAAATATTCCTTAACAGTTTTAAATAAAATATGAACAATTCGACTTGTTAGGGTTAGGGTACATATCCTCTCAATTTCTTCATCGAATCCAGTAAGAAAATTCATACTCCAAATCCCACCGTTTTCCCATAACTGATGCGCCTTTGTGAGCAGGTTTTTCTTCTTCAAGCCAGGCCTCTCCCGGTGGGGACTTTTGGAGTGCACTTGAATAGTATTCCTCTGTAATTGTTTTACCTTTTTCAAGGTAATCAATTAAATGAATTGCCTTCGGATCCCAAACATAGTGATCATGACCTTTTCGGATGCAATCGCCGATTATCCAGCCTCCACCCACTGCTTCGACTGCCGTTTTGTTTCTGCCGTGTAGTGGTACGACCTGTCTGTCCTGCATGGCTATGGCGTCTGACAGAATCGCCAGCGGGGATGTTACACTATCGTGCTTATGACGTGTTTGATTGGTGTGGTCCAGCAGCGGTGCCAGATAGTCTACACTTGGGGCAGGGAAGAAACGTTACCGTTATCAAATGTATATGAGCTGTTTGGCTGACTTGATCCGTTTAGTATGGCGGTTGTGATCAGAACAGTATAAAGTCCAATGTGTGATTCTCTACGAGCTCTTGGCTGTACGGTAAATAAAACTTAAATTAAATTATGTTATTTTATTTATTATAGCTTAGAGCAGGGTTCTTTTTTTGAAGCTCCCCGGACTATAAATTATATTTTCATATCCCCCTTTACTTTTTCAACAAATACAAAAATACGCACATTATATAGGTACCAAGACTTTTATTTCAATCCTAATAAAGAAACTTTAAAAGTTTAAATAAACTAATAAATGTTTTTCATCGAATAGCTTGAATAAAATAAAAATAGGTACTAATGAGGCACTTGAGATTGTATGTTCTGTACCAGTTGGTTGATCCTAGGTTCTGTTTTTGCCAGAGCTATCATGAGGTCGCTATCGACATCAAGACGATTTCGATGTTTAGTTTTAATTTAGAGCAGAAAAGCCTTTATCACATAAGTAAGTTGAAGAAAAAGGAACTAGTATTCGTAAAGCAAGAGAGGCAAGTGTCGAATTAACAGACAATTTTTTGGTCCCAAATTTCTCCAATATTACAAGATGGAAGTCATCTTTCATGTACGAATCAGTCGTCATTTCTAGAAACTCTTCTTGAACTTCTTCTGGTAATTGTGACACATCGACAACAAATGGATTTCTTGTCATGTGCCATATTGGTGAGTCTGAATTGATGTCTAATCTGATTGTCAAGAAATTGTGTTTTTCTTTGAACTCAAGAAAAGGGATTACCTCTTCTTTCAATTCATAAAGGGGAGCCAACATGTTGACTATGGACAGCCAGCGTACTTCTGTATGGAACAGAAGAACTTATCCTCGCAAAGTAAATAACCGACTGTTCAAAGCGCTGCTCTTGATGTAGTTTACAATCCTTATAGCCGAGTCCAAAGTGTGGCGTAATTTCAGTGGCAATGTTTTGGAAGCCAAAGCTTGCCAATGAATAACACAATGTGTACTAACCATTGCGGGATTTTTTTCTTTGAGGTTTCTAGTTAACCCCGATCGTACACCTATCATTGCAGGTGCGCCATCTGTGCAAAGTCCAATGAGCTTCTTCCAATCCAAATCATTTTTTTCAACAAAATTTGATATTGAATTAAATATATCTTCAGATCTAGCACCTGCTATCAAAGATAGGAAGTACAAAATCTCTTCTTGAATGATATCTCTGCCGATGGAACGAACTTATTAACTGTGCACAATTAACCATATAGCGATAATTTTACTTTGTTAATTATTTGTGACTTTATGTCTGCTGCAATATCATCGATTCTGCGCTTGACTGTGTTATTCGAAAGAGAAATAGACTTCATTTTTTGCTCTGCATCTTCTCCTAAAATTATCTGCATGGCTTTTAGAACACATGGTCTCATTAATTCTTCACCGATAGTATGAGCTTTATTTTGCTTGGTTATCATAAAAGCTATTTCAAATGAAGGTTTGAGATGCTGCGATACACCTGTGTGATAACTTCCCGATTTATCCAGTCTCATCCGCTTGGGTGACTCTGCTTTAGAAGAAAAAAACTCTTTCGTCTCCAAAACCAGAGTAGGATGTTGTTGCTTCAAATGCCTTTTAAGGCGATTGGGCCTCATGGTATCATTACTTAAAACTTTCATACATATCACACACTGAGGCAATTGTAACTCGTCTTTTTCTATGAAGTAAATGCAAGCTTAACGTAATCTTCGGAAAGCTTTCTTTGTTTCGCTGCCATTTTGCACCTATAACAATAAAACAAATAAGTAATAAATAAATAAGCAAAATACCTACATGTAATTTCTAATTATATGCCCATTATTTTATCTTAATAACGTAACAGTATATTGGCCACCGGGAGATTTATATTTTTGTAGGCATGTTGACGTTATAATAGTAATTTTAAATACATTTGGAATCAGCATTAGGTACTTAAAGTTCGTCCTTTCAAAATTATTTCGCCACGTTGGTTTGATTGTGATGTGGTAAAAATGTCCCAATGGCCGATCTATGAACGCGTCTCCACTCAATCAACAATTTAGTAAATTAAATAAAAATGGTAACTGAAATTTGTAAATACACAAACTTACCTTTCAACAGTGAGACACAATAATTTGACATGCTCAAACAGATTTCTCAACAAAACATGTACATCGGAACGTCAAATTTTTCGCAAGTTTGTGGAAATGAATGTTACAGATTCTCATCCGCGTCTGTTAGGTTACACAATTGTTTTCTAAGTGATGAATATTAAGCGGGGGGGGGGTGCGCGGATTTCATGCTGTGACTTGTCGAAACTTGTATACTCTGCGATTGACGACGCCGGGTTTTGAAACAGTGGTTGACAGAATAAGTGGATAGGACATTTAATTTCTAATTTTATGCATGTAAATTAAACATTACATTGTAATGTTTTTTGTTTTTTCTTTCTAAAATGCAACCGCTTTCGGCCCCCTTGACATCTCTCTATGCCCCCTTGGGATGCCCGTCCCCCTGGGTGGGAACTCCTGGCTTAGAGTTTGAATACTAGGAATGGTAATGGTGAGTTCGTTCGAGTTTCGACGTGCGGAAATTATCGATAAAGCACGTTAAGTGAGTGTACTTATGAATTTTATAGATTTGCATTTCACCACATTTTTGAGGGTCTCTAGGGGGGGACACCTGCCCCCACCTGCCTCGCCTGGCGACACCCTTGAGCTGAAACTTGTCTTTACGAGCAAATAGTTTGTGCACGCAAGCTGGAATTACACATGTGCGCCAATGAAGCGTGTTTTTTGTGTCAGGTGGGAGACAGGCTTTATAGAGCTCGACTACCTTCTCCATTTGATACGCAAAACGTCGGTCTTCGAAAATATTGTTTGTTGTGATGCTTCGTTGTACGGATCGAATTGACAATTTTCCAGGCGGTTTCCCTTTTCTCGCGGAAAATGGCATTTCGCTGGGGATGTCGCTCGACGTACGGGCGTCTGTTGCTGCCTCCTGAACACCCGGATAACCGAATAGAGACTTATTGACTGGTGTTACCTTTAAATTTGGTCTCGGCCTGGGCTGGAGCTTTTTCCGCCATTTTATCCACCGCTTCTTATTTAGATTTATATTTAGATATCCAGCCATGTGTGTACAAGCAGAGACGGTTTCCGGTAAATCCCCGGTTACAGTGCCTGAGAAACGACGGATTTGACAGTGACACACGATGTATCGAACTGCTCGAGCATGACATCGACTATCGCTGCACCTGATGTCACAACTCCTCTTCGGACTTATCCCGTAGAAATTGGGTACAATTGATAGGAGTTTCGAAGATCGAGTAACATCGAATTTGTATAGAGTAGGAAACTCGGCAGAGTTTAGACGTCAAAGATTCTTATAGTTAGCTACTTTTAACTTCAGATCAATATGGCGACGTTCGGCACGGGTATTACATATCTTGAAAAGTTTAGTTTTTTTTGATATTGTGTAGGTTATTTGTGATATTATGTAGACTTTGCTATAAAATGTCAACTTGGATTTCGCTGTTATTGACTTGATGTGCACTCGTTATGTCGCCTAAACGTGATGATGCTTGAATTATCATGGTTTGGCTCTGATGAGATGGCATATATTCAGTAATAATTTTCTCACACAGTAAATATCATTTTATACACATGCAGACCTATATCCACACGATCATCCAGATGCGATCTTGCTACTCTGTACTTAACCAATTTTCTGTCTGACTCATCTTGTCAGACTATCTCGGCATTAAGCACACAACAAAACATGTTGGCGAACTGACTTGCAATATAGTCGTTGAGCATGTCGTTGGGTCATTCCTCTATATGTGCACAGCAAGCAAGAACTATTTGCACACTAGGAGCTAACTAGTCAGCATGTTGACTTTTTTTGCAATACAGGGTGTTCCTTAATGATATGCGAATGTTTAAGGGTGTGAATCTACATGTAAAGTTAATGTTAGTTTGCTTTATAGACTATGGTCCAAAAATGTTTCCTTGCAAAAACTCGAGGTGTTGAAGTTTTAGGAAAAAATGGAAATATTTTCAGAACCGCTTCAGATATTTCACTGATATTTAGTACGTATGAAAGTTAATAAAGTTTCATATTTTTCAATGCAAAAATAATGTTTGGCTTTAACAGTGGCGTGCGTACGGGTATTGACTTCGATATTTTTTAAGAAAAAAATGGTACGTCAATGAATTTTTGCCAAACAAAAATTATTGTTGAATTCCCCGTTCAATTTAAAACAACTGAACTCTCATGAATTGTTTTCTTTTGATGCGCCATTTTTGAGTAAAAAAATAAAAACCGCTCTATTGTCTAACTTGCAAAATTATACTAAGTGACATATAAATCCGAACACCCAGTTTAAATGGTTTTATTTTAATAAAATTTTGTATAAGTACTTAATGAAGCATAATAAGTAAATGATAAAAATTTCAAAATGATTGCACTGCTTTAAAGCCCTTTGACCTTTAATAATGTGTGGATGCACCCTGATGTGCTACGCATTCTCCAACGCGCCTAGGCATGCTTCTGATCAGGTGGTCAATGTCCTGCTGTGGTATCTCATTCCAGACAACCACCAACTCCTCTCGAAGTACTTCTAGAGTCTGAGGAGGACGTTGCAAATTGAGCAATCTCCTACCCATCATATCCCACACGTGCTCAATTGGGGATAAGTCGGGGGATCTTGGTGGCCATGGTAACAATGTGACATCATTATGTTGAAAGAAGTCTATTGTGACTCTTGCAACATGTAGTCGGGCATTATCTTGTTGGAAAGTTGGATCTGCCAGGGTGTCAAGATAGGGTAAAATCTGGGGTTCTAGCAATATCGTGGATATAACGCTGCGCGTTCATGTTACCTCTGATAAAGATTAAAGGTGACCTGGAACCATAAGCTAGGACCCAGTGTGGCCGGTATGAAAACAAGCCAAAACTTCTCATTCGTCGGTAAACATTTCGCATGCCAATAGGTCTTCCGTGTTCTGCAAACCATTCATTTGCAATGGACCTGGTAGTGGAGAAACGGTCTCTTAAGGCCAATAATCTTTGGCGGCGATCTTCACGGTCTGTTGTTCTACGGCGGCGTCCAGTGCCCCTTGCTCTTTGCGTACGGCCTTCTCGAAGCCATGCCTGACAACACCTAACCACAGTGTCTACACTTCTTTGCACTCTAACTGCAATTGCCCGAAAAGAAAGTCCAGCTTCCCGAAGAGTCACTATACGGCCCCTATCAAACTCACTAAGTTGACGAAATCGTACAGGTCTCCGTACTCTAGGCATCGTAACGGATCGTAAAGGATGTCAAGAACCAAAATACGCCAACGTTGATTCTTTACTGCGGCTGAAATATTCATTTTTAGAGCGTTAGTGAATTAAAAAAAAAGCAGTATAAAAACCGGAATGTCCAACTGATAAGGCTGAAAATTTGTTCACTTGTTATTTACAGTAAGATAAAAACATTCACCAACTTTTATTAAAATAAAACCATTTAAACTGGCTGTTCGGATTTATATGTCACTTAGTATATTATTAATTTAATTGGAAAAATTAAACACATTAGGGGTAATGAACAACAACAACTGGCAACATAAACATAACATTAAAACCAACGAAATTATTACAAAAATTGTTGAAAATGTCCCCGTTCACTAATATGCAACTTTATTAACTTTCACTACGTACTAAATATCAGTGAAATATCTGAAGCGGTTCTGAAAATATTAATTAATTTCCATTTTTTTCCTAAAACTCCAACACCCCGAGTTTTTGTAAGGAAACATTTTTGGGCCATACTTTATGAAGCAAACTAACATTAATTTTTCATGTAGATCCACACCCTTAAATATTCGCATATCATTAAGGAACACCCTGTATAAACGTTTTTACGAAATAATTCTGCAGAACTTGTGGGCAGCGACTCTGTACTGGTTGTCGTTCACTTGTAGTAACCGCGGTGGCGGGGGTCTAGGGCACAGTTCCCCTACAAAAGATTTTTGTAAGAACAAAAGTAAAATATGAAGAAAATTCACTAATAATTTTTGTACTTCTCCGCCCACTTTTCAATCGACCACACCTCTCGATCTCAGAACCCCCTCCCCGAAAATTTTTCTCTGGGTAGTCGCGTGTTTTGCTCAAACGTTAAGTCAGTGCTTTCAGTGTAATGTGATTGACTTTAATGTAAAAACTGCTCCAGAAATGGCGCATTCTTCAGGTGCCATCGCCGCTACGAATCAATCATTAATGATATATTTATCTTTGAGGAGGTGGCACGGAACATTTGACTGGAACTGTAGCCCAACCGTAACCAGGACATTCTTCTTCTGTTATTACTTTGGTCACCTTGAGTTCCACCCTGCTGGATCAGTTGTAATAACATGTACAGTCTGCGAAATTCAATGTTGGCATAGCAGACCCGATTAAAAATCAACCAGTCCTAAAATACTCTTCGCAGTCTTTTACAGCTAGATTTCAACTTTAATTTATAGATTATATTATATGCTGCATTGTAATTGTTGATTTACTTATTTTCTGATCTTGTTCTACCAATCGCTATGTGATTGGTTAAGTGTAACAGCAGCGATGGTTAAGCAAACGAATGTTTGTTTGTTTCTAAATAGAGACGACGATTATTATTAACGACCCGAAAAAATATATCTGTTAACCGAGTTTTCAAGCATTGAATATACCCATTCTAATCCCTTTTAGACCTCAATCACCATCGATGTTTCACAACTATCCATCGCAAACGGGTCTCAGTTTTACGACGATCTTACAACTCCTGATCTTTGCATTCGATTTCAAGAGGTTATTTAGAGTGTACATACAGCGACTCCCAGATTGGATTTTCCCTTTGATCTCCTCAGTAATGCCATTGTCAGCGGTAATCATTTTTCCAAGGTACTTGAAACCCTTTCAAAGTTATAGGAGCTTTACGTTACGTTTTGCCCTTTAATGTCTCTTCTACCTCGTCTGCTGACGCAGATTATATTTCTCTCACTGCTTCTTAATAATAGTAATAATTAATAATAATAATAGTGTTTATTGGAGTATTGGTACATAATAGGAAAAAAATGACTACATAATTCATAGAGACTGGGGATTGGCAAAGCCATTTTCCACCCTAGCCTGCATAGCTAATGTAGAGAGAGTGTGAGAAAGTCATATGCACCAAATACAAGAAATTATGGCTATATAACTGTAATACAAAATTCCAAATGATAATAATAATAATAATAATAAACCGTCTTTTATTTTCAAAGAAAATTCAGCATAATAAAAAAATGTATATAATACCAGTAGCGAAGTCTAGCTGATAGCTACTCTACTCAACCACTGAAGGGGAGCACCCAAATAAGCGAATAATTGAATTTGTTATTAAATAATATGTAATTACATATGTCAAAATCAATGAGGTAGACAGAAAAAGTATACATATGATGAATAACATAGAGCAACACAGGCATTCGCAGTAAAACATACATGTACAGATTACGCTTTTAACTTTTAAAAAATATACAGGGCGTACAAAGACAGTAACAACACATTCTAAGTTAAGCAGATCTAGCCACACTTTTGATATCGATGTTGCTTTTATATATACATATATCGATGTACCCATATACGCATACATACATATATACATATACACACATATATAAGAGTTACACAATAATAAATAAATAAAAAGTTGAATATACAACATTGCATCATTGATCCTACTGCATATCAAACAAATAACGTTTTAGTTTAAATTTGAACTTGTTCATATTAAGAAGCTTGAATTCTTGTGGCAGCTGATTATACATCCTGATAGCATTATATATGAACGATCTTTGAAACATGGCGGTCTTATGCTGCGGAACGGTGTAGCTCAATTTTGATCTTATATTTTGTGTATCTTTGCGAGGTATGAAATGTTTGATCAGACCTGGAGGATTTGGAGTGTTGACCAGTTTATGCGTAAAATTACACAAGTGAAGGAGTCTCCTATTTTTCATGTTAAGCCATTCACACTCTCTCATTTTGTGTGATAGGCGGTCATACTTCCTAATTCCGTATACTAGCCTACAGCAGCTATTTTGAACCCGTTGTATTTTCGTTGTCAGCAGTAGTCAAGCACGGCCCATAAATAAAGCTACAATAGTTGAAATTACTAAGCACCAAGGTCTCACATAAAGTTTTTTTTAGTTTTTTATTTAGGAAATGTAGACTGCTATAAATGATTTTGAGCGAACTAAATGCTTTGTTTGCAAGCGTTTGAATATGGAGTGAAAAACGAAGGCTTGGATCAACAGTTAAGCCTAAATTACGAGAAGAATCACAGAAACTAAGCACTTCGCTTGTAATTTTCAACGAAAGAGTGTCCTTTAAAATATATATACTATTTTTATTGCGAAAAAGTATTACTTTTGTAGACTTCGTTCTGCTGCAGCTCATTGTTTCATGGAAAAGCTAAAGTAAACTTGAATATCGTCAGCCTACGGTAGTAACTTGACGTTTTGTATCTTTCTTAGTAGCAACCCTGACAGGATATCTGTGCTTGCCGAATAATAATAGTGGTAACAGTTATTAGTCCGAGAATTAACCATTTAACTACTAGAAGCTTTATCAAATTGTAACTGCAACAGCTCCTTTTTAAATTCTTTTTTGAAGCACTGGATGGATGTTCGAAAATTTTTGTGTAAGCATTCAGAATAGTATAGGTCGAAATATTATGGCAATAGTCATTACGCGAGAATAAATGGTGAAGAGAAGATATTTTCTCTAAAACGTTAAGAAGATAATTTGGAGATTTATATTTCAAAACCTTAAATGATAGAGCGGCATAGAGGTGCAATGAGCAATATTTGAATTTGAAAATATTTTCTCTTAAATAACTGCCAGTGATGTGTTTCTGTCCGCTGATCTCATTGGAACAAAACCTCGTGCAACAGTTTTGCAGAAATTGAATTTTTTTGTTTCATTTCTTCAGTCAGAAAATTGCAATAAACAGCAACGCCATAGTCTAAATGAGTGAGGATTTATGAGTTCACAAGTTTTAGTTTAATATCCCTTTTTAAGATACACTTACACCTCCAAAGCGATTTGTATATATGAGCTTACTCATATGATCTTAGAAATTTAAATTTTTATCCAGGAGTACTCCCAAATTTCTAGCATTATATTCAAAATATTATTCCTAGGATTCATAGAGTTGATTATCTACCCGTACCCTGTTTGTATTGTGATTTACACAAATCATACATCATTTACAATTCCCGGTTGAACTAGAGAAAAACAATCACATGCTGCAACTCATTTTCCACGTCCATTTTTGTGAAAAACTACCATACACGGTACAGTTAGTATACGTTCAAAAATACCAGGCAAATTGTCACCGTGAAAACACCCTCCTGGTTTTGAAGCGCTATCAATTCTGTTCAGTTTAGGGTTGATAAGCTGTCTAGAGGTTTTGATAGTTTTGAGTCCACCCCTGTGAACCTCGCAAAGGAGAACCTTAATTAAAATGGAGGAGCCGTAGCCCGCCCGCGCCCGCATGTGTCCGACAAATCAACGGTCTACCATCTAAAATTAATTACTAGTTTAATTGAAAATTAATTAACGGTAATGTAAATAATTTAAATTTTAATTGAATCGTTAATTGCATGGATTGCCATCGTTTCAAACGGGCCCGTCACGTCGCGCTGTGGCACAATGACGTTAATGTAAGTAGTTTTTGACAGTTAAATTGACTTTATAATCAATAAAATAGAGGAACTGTGTTATGCAGTCCAAACATCTAGAAGCAAAACAACAAAGTATCACTACTGTCTGAACGCTACTCATTTATCCGAGGATCAAATTTGTCCTACGAAATGAAGTATTTCACGAAGTAAGAAAGAAGACTGATTGCAGTTAGGAGGCGCCCAAGCATTGAACCATTATGACGCTTTCCAAGATTCATCACCTGTTATTGCAAACTGGATTAATAACTTGCATGATATGACGCACAGTTTACACGTCTGATCGACTGCCTAGATAGACTTATCAAACTTCTGCTTCTTATTCTATCTTAATCATCATCTGAGTACCCACAAGGTCGCGGCTCGCGATGTGAACAAAATCAAACCGTGCGACTTTAGGTCCACCCTAAATTATAATTTTTCTTCAAATTTTAGGATCAATTCCAAATGCACGAATACCACAATGACAATGCCAAGGCACCCCTCAAATCGACGCACCACTTTATCTTCGCTCTCCCTCCTGGCATCTGAACAACCAGGCCTAACAGACCTTCTGACTGACACTACTTTGACCAAGAGCAAAAGTCCTACGAACCTTTCGAGAAGACAATGGAGAATAAGAGGTGATATGTATGTTCGAGTAGCTGAAGGACATAGAGAAAATAGATAGCTGAGCTATTCAACCATTTTTGACGTTGTATGATATTTTTCGTTTCTATTTGGCTGATCAGGCGGGCAAAACGGAAACAACCTTAATAAAGCATATAATCTGGATGCGCAATTAAGAAAATTGTTATTAAAGCCCATCCAGCACAGTGAACCTATTAGAGGGGAACTGGAATGAGAAAATTACTCCGGGGAAAATAGGTTGCTGATGACGCCAGCATTTTGCTCTTTTTGTTTATTTGAAATATTTCATGCTGCTTTTATCCATCCTACCACACACGGCCAACCATGGACAGCTGTTTCGTGCTTTTTGGCAACTCATCGGCATGGTCTAGCCTTGGTCTCTGGGGCAACGAAAGCAAAGCGCCAGATGTTATAAGAATCGACCACTATTATTATACTATTAAATAAATAATCAATTAATAGTTTTATAAAATTATAGAGTATTCGTCTTCATTTTACGTTGACAATAGGCTAGTTTTGGCGAAAACCATGTTACTCTTTTCCGCTGGTCTGCCTGTGGGTTTGTCCACTATTCCTTGGCCATTCGTATTTTGACGAGGTTTTTACATAAGGTTACCACTATGACAAGGACGAAAAAGCTGCGTGGTTTTTGAAAGTTGGTCCAGTGGCGGCGTATCTACAGGCAAAAAAACGAAAAAGATAAAAATCGCTGACATTTCGTTTTTAACGTTTCAGAAAATCTTGATGATTTTTATAAAAAAAGATGTTAGTCCGATTCTTAAATTGCCTAAGGTTAGCAGAACTAGGAAGATTGATCTATAATCGTGATACCAATTTTCTATTGAAAGCTAGAAACTTTCCAAGAGAAAAAGAGTTTTCTTTATTAATAGGCATTATTTTTACGATGCCAACATTATAGCGACCTCGTTTAAAAAAAACATTGTTATTTCAAAAAAGGCCAACTTATGAATATCTGAGATATGGTAGAATAGAAATACCTTTTATAGTATGTCTATAGTAACATACCTATTTGAATTCGTCAGTTTATTAATAAAGAAGAAAATCTCTAATTTTTCTGGGCTATGTGTAATCGCCGGAGCTCCTTCTGCAGCTCACGGCTTCAATAAAAGTCAATTAAATTTTCTAATTAAAAGCCTGTATGAGCCAGGGAGCCGCGTGCGCGCTACCACTACATAAAGGCGAAGCGACAGAGAAATTAAACCGATCAAAGCAGTGACGACTCGTTATTATTATCTCTTATTGAGCATATAAATAATAAATAGAGTCCTATGTAGCGTTTGATATGACTATCCATGCAACAAAAAAAAGTTTAGCATGGGATGGCGATATATTGATTATCTGAAAATTATTCGTGTTGCTATATTGAGCCGTATGAATGTTATTTGCCATTTATTAATTTCCAACAAACACTTTTGACTTAGCTACGTTTTCAGGCATTAAGTACCTGAAGTTTAGGGTTTAAGATATTTTGTTGGTAGGTAATCCGAGAAACTTGAGGTTTATCATATTTTCTCACTTTTTATTTCAAATGCAACCTGGAGGACTGATTACACAGAGGGCTGGTCAAGGAGAGTCTAAAGGCTAACACCATTTGACCTCCTTGGCAGGTATGCCCTTAGGCCCGTATCGTCAGTCGTCCCTACAATTGTAGGGCGCGTTTATGGCCTCTTTGATTGTCATACTCCTTTCTCTCCTTCAAAAATTTCTAGATTACACTTGTCCCGTGTCAGCGTCAGCGCTCTCCTATTGTGAAGATATGTTTTCTTTTTAAATTGTAGGAAATTTCAGGCTGATAAAACATGATATAACTCAAAAGCAAGCACAATTTGATGCAAATAGATGTTTGTGACATAACCTCAAAATAGAGCGCTGACACGGAGAAGTAGAAAACTATGACAATCAAGGAGGCCATAAAGGCGCCCTACAATTGTAGGGACGACTGACGATACTACGGGCCTTAGAGACAAGAGTACTTCAAAATGGAGTTCGATAGTTAAGTAGTGTATGAAGTGATTTTCGTTGGATTAAATCGAACTCTAGTTTAAAAGTCGGTTATTTAGTTGCCAGGTTTCGCCTCCCCATTGTTATTTGGAACGTAATTTCAATATTTCAAAAAGACTCACCGTCTCGTTTTTGAAATAATAGGCTCAAAAGTTGGTATATCTCTGATTCCCACCGTACTAATTTTTTGCATATTATATAAATTTATATAAAAAAGTAATTGTAAAGAATATAAGAAATCCGTAGTTCCTCTAGATCAGTCGATGTGGAGAGTACAGTTTGATTTCGTTTCTGGTAAGCGTACCGTCACGAATAACTACCTTGTAGTGCCTTATATGCGCCAGGTTCTCATGCACGTCAATAGATAGATTCAGATCAAGCATACAAAATATATGTCAGACAAGCTGAGAACGAAATAAAAAGAGATTCGGATAAATTTTTGGGGCTTCTTAAATTATAAGCGAAAATCAACAAACATATCAAGTTTAGATTTACAATGGTAATTAACTTTTGGAACTGAATGACATATTAAATGCGTTTGCGGATAACTTCTCCAAATACTACTCGTCTTCATCAGCCATCGAAGAAACTGATGCTTTTTAATGAGCAACGAACTCAATATTACTAGATTTGAGGAGGATGACGTTGTCTTAGCCTTGAAGCAAATAATACCTGAGATGACTACCGGACCGGATAAAACCAGCTTTTATCTTGCGTGTCTGTGCCTCTGTGCTGGCGTATCCTTTGACCGTTTTATTTAACTTGTGTCTTACCACCTGCACAATTCCAGAATTATGGAAGTTGTCTACAGTATGTCCAATACACAAAAACGGCATTAGGAGTGGCCGCATTAGGCAGCAGCGGTGGCCGCAGTAGTAGACTCTTCGGTCTCCTGATCAGTCGCCGTGCGCTGTGCGGGTTCGAGTCCCGTCCCAGGATAATTTTTTCTCTTGGCTATGGATGTTGTGATTGTCCGTAGGTGGTAGATGGTCTCTGACTGTCGAACGCGGAGGTACCACCCGGCGGTTCTCGTAGGCGGAGCCAGAATGTGTGCATGTTACATGCACACGTGTTCCCTCGCCAGAGTCCGTGTGGCGTCCCCCTTTTCCCATGTATCCCCCTATAGCCCCACGGTACACAATGGGTGCTTAGGCCTTAGGCCTTCGTGGTAGTTGGAGTATAAAAAAAAAGTATCAAATCTGATGAACTTCACACAGACCATAGCAGAAAACATTGACAGCTGATTGCAAACAGATGTGATCTACACAGACTTCTTCAAGGCTTTCGACAGAGTTGATCACAGGTTGCTATTGCATAAACTGAAATCTCAGGGATTATCCGAGTCTTTAATACAACTATTTAAGTCCTACCTCACTGGAAGAAATCAATTTGTGATGTCTAATGGCATCAGATCGTCGGAGTATGTAGCCAATTCCGGAGTGCTACAAGGCAGTAACCTAGGGTCTTTATTGTTCGTCATATTTGTGAATGACATAGTTAATGCTGTTGACGAGAATTGTATACTTTACGCTGATGATCTGAAGATGTTTTGCCGTGTAGTTAATGAATCAGACTGTGATCAACTTTTAGAAAATCTGGTTAGGTTGGATGTTTGGTGCTCACAAAACAATCTACCATTAAACGACAATAAATTTTACGTAATTTCTTACACGTTGAAGAAAAATCCTCTGTTATTTGACTATACCCTGTCAGGTACCCCTATTCAGAGGACTACAACTTTATGTGACTTAGGCGTGACATTTGACTCCCATTCGTCAAACACATTGACAGCAAAATTTCCGAGGTAAACCGCATGTACGGCTTTATTGTAAGAAACTGCCGTGACTTCACTCAGAGTACCACCTTGAAGTTGCTGTACTATGCATATGTTAGATCGAAACTTGAGCATGCATTGCTAACTTGGAATCCGCATCATATTATTCATATAAGTCACTAAAGACAATACTGTTCCATTCCTGATCCCAGAGTGACCGTTGTCTGCACCACTCAAGGCGATTACGTCGGTGTTCTCGAGTTAAAGGGAGGACCCAGTGTGGCCGGTATGAAAACAAGCCAAAACTTCTCATTCGTCGGTAAACACTTCGCATGCCAATAGGTCTTCCGTGTTCTGCAAACCATTCATTTGCAATGGATCTGGTAGTGGAGAAACGGTCCCTTAAGGCCAATAATCTTAGGCGGCGATCTTCACGGTCTGTTGTTCTACGGCGGCGTCCAGTGCCCCTTGCTCTTTGCGTACGGCCTTCTCCCTTCTCGAAGCCATGCCTGACAACACCTAACCACAGTGTCTACACTTCTTTGCACTCTAACTGCAATTGCCCGAAAAGAAAGTCCAGCTTCCCGAAGTCCCACTATACGGCCCCTATCAAACTCACTAAGTTGACGAAATCGTACAGGTCTCCGTACTCTAGGCATCGTAACCGATCGTAAAGGATGTCAAGAACCAACATCCGCCAACGTTGATTCTTTACTGCGGCTCAAAAATATTCATTTTTAGAGCGTTAGTGAATTAAAAAAAAAGCAGTATAAAAACCGGAATGTCCAACTGATAAGGCTGAACATTTTTTCACTTGTTACGAGTATTTACAGTAAGATAAATACATTCACCAACTCTTATTAAAATAAAACCATTTAAACTGGGTGTTCGGATTTATATGTCACTTAGTATAGAAAGGTGTATTATTCGCCACCAATGTGGGAGGCTCTGTCGGCTTATAAAAACTACATTGGCTATTCCTGCCCTGGGGTTACTCCGGGCAATTTTCTCTTCATGGGGCCAAAAAGTACGTACAAATTTTATTTGTTATACTCTACATTTGTTGTGGTTCTGTGCGAGAAATATTATTTTCGACTTTTGTGGTAGTTCTTACCTTATCGGCATTTAAATGATATTCATTAAAACTGCCTGAACGGTGTCGAGTTAAATAAACTGATCATCTGCTTCCTCGATTGCAAATTACACACGCAAATGAATTGAATTGAAGTCAGGTGCTGAAAAACAGCTTGCCCGCGGAAGCTAGATAAGTAAAGGGTATTTTTTTTTGAGGTATAGAACTTTAAATTGCAATAAAACAACGATGGATTATTCGATTGACATGCATTTTTTTTAATCGGAAGATAATCTTATGGCATTACATTTTAAATATGATTTATGCCATATAACTGCCACGGCTGGCTCGGATGTAGTCCAATCTGCACGTCCAATTTTCGA